CTGCAAGTGCTTTTTTTTTTTAAGGCAATAGCAATCATTGTAAGCAGAGCTGCAGAGGAATAGGCAGAGGGGACAATACCTGCCTGGAAAGAAAGCTGCAGAGGGGATGATACCTGCCTGGGAGAAGGGCTGCAGCACAATAGGCAGAAGGGTCAATACCTGGAAGAAGAGTTGCAGCCTGGTTAGGTGGAAGAGCTCCAGAAGGACCCCAGTCAAGGTGCAGCAACTGGGGCAGAAGCGCTTCAGGTTTCCTGGTTCCAGCTAGGAAGGGAGCTTGGTGGAGGTACCCAGTCGGGTACATGGAGCTCCATCACACTGTCTGTAAACATTGGCAGATATGAAGGAAAATATTGGCGCAAACAGAAAATTACAATAAAATGTTGGCATGAAAACAGCCATGCCACTTTTTAACCATAATCCTCATAGACACAACAAACACAGGGTAAGGTGACCATCTAAAAAGTGATAAAATATGTGCGTTTTAGATCTATTGAACCCACACTAGTGATATATCTTAGTTTAGTAGTGGAGAATAATAAATAAATTGATATACCCTAAGATAATTCTTGTGATGATGGTCTTATACATATTCTTATATGCAAGTATTCTCTTAGGGTATATCATTTTATTTATTATTCTCCACTACTAAACTAAAATACATCATTAGTGTGGGTTTAATAGATCTAATACTCACATATTTTATCACTTTTACACTGGTCACTTTACCCTGTGTTTGTTGTGTCTATACCTGGTGGAATTGTCATGATTAGTTCCACAAGTGATCACTAGTTGCATGCCCTAAGTGACACTATATATTGCACTTTTTTGTATTTCTATAATCCTCATAGAGTTTGTAAGCAAAAAGTATCGGTCAGGGGATGCAGGAGAGGTCAGGGAACAGAGGATAAAAAGCTGAGAGAGAAGAAAGTGAAAGGGTCCTATACTTTCTGCATGTTATCTGGGTTATGCTTTGTACATCTGTATTGAATATTTTAAATTTCCTAATATGTTTTTGAGTTTGCTGAACTGAATAACATGAAGTACCTTCTTCTAGATACCATAATGTTCTGCAGAATTGACTTCAACATTCAACACGTGAAGTGCACTGAGTACGCTGCTATAATACCAACAAAAAGGGGTTAAAGTACTACAACTGTGTTTAAATAGCTCAATATACAATAACACAACTAGTGCACTATAACAATCTACACTGCCCTCCACTAATAGTCGCACCCTTGGTAAATATGAGCAAAGAAGGCTTTGAAAAATTGCCCTTATTGTTTAACCTTTTGATCTTTTGTTCGAAAAATACACAAAAATGCTCTGCTCAAACAATTGCCAACACAACACAGTAATAAATAAATAAATTTGAATTTCAAAGAACCAGAACTGCAATGAAGGTGCTGGAGTTAAGTCAAATGTCATCACATTTTACATTTTTATTTGGGCAGATATTATTCAAATCTCTCCCACCACCACTACTACAGAACCATGGGATGTAAATCCTAATGTCTAGAATTCTGGTCTTGAATTGAGGACTTAATAAAATGGTGTCCACTGCAAAGTTTCCCAGTTTTTTTATGGGTTAAAGCTGTTTTCATGATATGGCATTTCTGTTGAGAATAAATGTGCATACTTTCATCCCTACAGACATGTTGTAGCGTGATCGGTTTGTCAGAAAAAAACTAGCCCTGAGCTTGAAATAACTTGAAGAAATGAAGTGGCAAGCAGCCAGATTTCAGTAAATCAAGTCTATTATCCCAGCCTCGATCTTGAATGAAGTTCTACATTTGTTCTGCACAGAGAATGCTTTCAAATCTTCCCACAGAAGAACAAGTTGTTGCATAGGGTCGGTGCACACTAGCAGGAAGATGCTAAAGTCTTGCAAAAAAAAGTGATTTTCAAAAATCCATCATTCTAAAAAAAAATTATTTGAGTTTCAACAGTGTTCCCAAGACATTAGACGACAACGCATACATCTGGCACTTAAAGGGTTAACAAACAGCTCTAGTGCATCCCAAGCAAAGAGAAATCTCCTATTACACATTTGTATCCTCTGAGACCAACGTGTTCTGCATGTTTAGTTGATTTGCCAGTGGTTGGCACTATGCATTCCAAATCAACTGATCGTGAATGCATGGCTAATATATCGGAATTGATGCTAAGCCCCTGAGTGCCACAATAAATCCTCCTGAATATTGTGAGGATCTATTCTTAGTTTATTTCAGCAAATTAAAATTAAAAGATGATATATTTAAGTCCACTATATAGAAGTATCAGATCACAATATTGGAATCACTGAAGATAGGAATATTAGATTTTAGACTTCAATGTTTGACAAATTTAGGCCAATTGGTGGTTTGGCTAAATTTTGTATCCCTAAAGCACTATACAGATCTATAACTGAACAGACAACTAGCATGATGGATCAGTTTCAGAACTCAATATATATATATATATATACACATACATACAGTTACGGGAAAAGAAAGTACACCCTCTTTGAATTCTATGGTTTTACATATCAGGACATAATAACAATCATCTGTTCCATAGAAGGTAGGTTTGCAAAGTTGCACATGAACAAACCACAAGACTTCTGGAACAATGTCCTTTGCACAGACAAGACCTCAGTGGAGATGTTTGGCCATAAGACACAGCACCACATTTAGTGAAAACCAAACACAGCAAATCAGCACAAACGCCTCATACCAACTGCCAAGCACGATGGTGGAGGGGTGATGATTTGGGCTTGCAGTCATTGAGTTGACCATGGACTCCTCTGTATCCCAAAGTTTTCTAGAGTCAAATGTGAGGCCATCTGTCCGACAGCGAAAGCTTGGCCGAAATTGGTTCATGCAACAGGACAATGATCCCATGCACAGCAGCAAATCTACAACAAAATGGCTGAAAAAGAAAATAATCAAGGTGTTGCAATGGCCCAGCCAAAGTCCAGACCTCAACCCGATTGTAATGCTGTGGCAGGACCTTAGGAGAGCTTTGCATAAACAAATGTCAGCAAACCTCAATGAACTGAAGCAACGTTGTAAAGAAGAGTGGGCTAAAATTCCGCCACAACTACGTGAGAGACTGAACAGTCGTACTGAAAATAATTACTTCAAGTTATTGCTGCTAAAGGAGGTTCTACAAGCTGTTGAATCATAATGTGTACTTTTTCACACATGGCTCCTCCATTTTGGCTTTATTCTTGTTAAATACATTGTGACACAGTGTATTTACCTAGTTTTAAGACCTTCTATGGAACAGATGACTGTTACTAAGTCCTGATATGTAAAACCATAGAATTCAAGGAATGTGTACTTTCCTTTTCCCATGACAATGCCCCATGTATATATACCTAGATGCATGGAGCATGTATATGTGATGGCAACATAAAACCTAAATAGATCACTAGATGACACCAAATTGATTTGAGTGCTTAGGGCTATTTGAGGTCTTGTTCTGGCCATGGCCACCATCCATTTCTATTCCCAGAAACATCTTTCCACTCTTAAAACCACTTACCCACTGCCACAGTGTATTGCACAAACAAAGCATTTTTACTTTAGCTGTCACTTTAAAATGAAATGAATGATTTAATATGGTACACTGCTCTTTGTCTGCACGCGGTTAAATAAATTAAAGCGGAAATGACGGCTCTATAAACTATTCGGCAGATATCCTGTAATTGCACCACACCATACAACTCATGACTCACAATATCTCACCTTAGCAGTGACTGTACGGTTTGTCATTGTGCGACCTTGACGGTTATCACATATCTTTATATGGAGCTTCCTTTAGGATATCTGCTTCATCCTTAAAGTCATAGGAAACACACTGAAATGCACTTATATCTCATCTGCCAAGTAAGGAAGGCTCGGAATTGCCAAGGTTTTACGAATCACCTTCTAATTCTGGCAAACACCATCAGGCCCCTTTAATTTATTTAATATTAATATGCCATTTAAAAACATACTGCTAAAAATGAACAAAGCACTTTAGTTAAAATGGATTAACACTTTACAGCTGAGAAAATTTGTCTACTGGTGCATCTTTATTAAAGGGACACTGTAGGCACTATAACTGCTTCATCTAATTGAAGTGGTTATAGTGTTTGGGGTCCCCTGGCAACATTCTTCCATTCAGCGTTAAACTATTTTTAATGTTAAACACCTGCAGCCCATCCCCTCTGTGCTGCTTGAGCTAAATTGGACGCATTAGCCTGAGCAGCCACGGGCAGCTGTGATTGGCTGAGAGTGCCAACTGACCACTCTCCAATTGTCACAGCGCCCATTGCTGGTAAAAATTGGTATAGCTGTAAGGAAGTGTGCAACCTCTGCCTTAGCCTTACCTCCAGTAGGTGCTGAGTGGTAGGTCTCGTCTCCAGGATTCCTTACTTAGTGTTAAACTGCCCAAAAATAATTTAACACTAAATGGACTGACAGCGCTGTGGAACTCCAGGCACTATAACTTTTTCAATGCAATGAACTTGTTGAGATGCCTTCAGTTTTCCTTTAATAACATATTGTATATCGTTGCGGTGCTAAATATATCACACAGGATCTGTATTTCAACATTCAGCCAAAGATTAATTAATAAAAGGCATTAGTTCATTTATTTACATGAATTTAGCTAGTCATGGATGGTAACAGTCTCCCTTATAAAATCTATATAAGGGCTTTCATAGAAGATTTGGACTAGAAATATGGAAACAGCTATTACACAAGCACACAGCATACACAAACTAAAAACTTATTATTAGCATAATTAATTGTTTTAAATTTACATTACCAGCACAATACTTAGCAACAAACCATCCTCTCCATTTCTAAATTCAGTTTTGATTACAAAAAGAAAAAGAAGACGACCCCCAACGCTATTTTATTTGACATTCTTTATTTTTGTGAGCATAAGAATGTTACAGAGGTAACCAGAAATATGACAACAATACGATATATTTATATGAATATCAACAGATATGACGGATAGTGCGATAGTTTTTTTTAGTTAGATAACAAACTGAAATATATCAGAAACAGTAGTTAAATGAGAAAAAAAATAAAAAAAATAATGAGGCATTCTAATGGCATGAACCACTTGACATGTGCAACATATTACATGTGACTACTTTTATACAGGCTGCTGATAATGCTCTATAACGCTGGGCCGAGGGGTGGGGAGTGTTGAAAAAAATGTAGATGGCAGAAACATCATTTTACGTTAACTAAAACAACTATATGATGACATAAATAATTTGCCTGATAGGGTAACTGTTAGAAAGACGGTAACTTAGTCCAATTTTGAGGACGCATAAGAAAAAAAAGAAAACAGATATAAGTAACTGTAACACAGGCACTCCATGCCCTCACTGCAGATCATCTCGCCCCATATCTGATTGTGCGGGGGACAAAGGGGACTATTGTTGATACCCAGGTTGCAATGCTGCAACATGTGCATCTGTAGTAATCCTGAAAAAAAAAAGTAAAACAAGAACATGATGTATAAGACATTTGTGTTTCTCCTAATATTATTGACTTCTGAGCGCACTGTGGCTATTTCTGCCAATAAAAAGTCTCTTTCAGCAAAAGTCGTCATAATAATTCTTTAGCAGCAGCACAACCTTGTGGCGGAAAGTTAGAAGACAAGTGGAAGGCTCTTTTTTTTTTACAGGTGTTCCCTAATTCTTCAAATAAAACAGTCTCCAATAAATGTTTCAACACCATATTTAGCGGGAACTTACATTGCTTAATAAAATGTATCCTAGGCAATATCTCAAATAGGCCTTTACTTTCTAGAATTAGGAATGTTATATTTGGTATCTTATTTTTTTATGTGCTGGCATATATGAACATACATTTGAGTGAAATTGGCAGAATTTGAATATTTAGGCTGCACATTTTGTGTGTGAGTAACTTTCAATTTATGGGGGGTAAAAAAAAAGATAAAAAAATAGCGTATCATCTGAAAAAAACTTTTACCTAATGCGTGACATCTTGAGTGGGAAAAAGAAAGACAATTTAAGCACTCACTCCCGCTGCCCCCTTGGTTACGGATAATTCCTCAATTTGCAGTAATCTCTGTGATGGGCAATGTTGTCTCTGACTTTGTCTTTATGTCATGGCAACTTACTTGGAAAGCACTGTACCAGCCGCAAAAATGCTAAAAAAAAAGCCCACTTACCTCCTCTTCTGCTTTCACACTTTTTAACCTGCGAATCACGCAGAGAGTTTGTAAAAACGTGCCTCCCTTCTATTCCTCTTTCTTTACCAAAAAAAATTAAATGGCTGCGGAACTGCAGCAAGAGAGAGGTGAGAAGGGAGAGCTGATATGATATAGATGATATGTACCTCGCACGTCCTGTCTTCCCGTCTTTCCATTTTCCGCCTGCCCTGCCTCTTCATATATTTTTGTTTATTGCTCTCCTTGTGAACTACCCTCCGAATATTTTGTTCAGGAATTATAACAGATTCTACACGCTAATAAGGATCAGTACTAAAGGACAGAAAAATGATAGAATCATGTTACCTCGTATCACAGAACCTCTATGAGAACCAGAGAATTATAATAGAGAATTTTTGCCATACTTACCATAATTTTCTTTTCCTGGTTAATATCCTAATGGTTAGCACCTCTCTCTCAGCCGTTAGTTAGAAACAGCCAAAAATGCAGACAATTGTACTTTAAGAGAGCTAAGGCTCACACCCTATTCCAAACCCTTTTGTAGGAATACCAACGAAATGGGAGGAAACAAATAGCCCAACTAAAAGATCCATCTTTGTGATAGGGCATCCTGGCCTTTTGATCTCATATCGAATCTTCGGGAATAGAACAAGGGAACTTGTTTGTTCCTGGAAGTCACCATCATGTCGATGTCCGGAATGCCCAAAAGATCGCATATCTCTTGAAATGTATCGGAACTCAGTTTCCATTCTCTTGGATCCACATAGTGGCGGCTCAGATGATCCGTGACATCGTTCAGTTGACCTGGAAGATGTATGGCAGATTGTCCTTCCAGATGCTGTTGTACCTAGAATATGATAGACTTTGTTTCCTATCTATTTACTTGAATGTAAATGTGGCATACAGTATGTAGGTCGCACAATAAGAAAATTACATGTCAGAATCTTGGAACATTTTAATGGTATAAAAAGAGGGAACATAAAACATAGTGTCACCAAACATTGTATAAATTGTACTTATTTTTACTTCCAAGATTTTAAATCTATAGGGATAGATGCAATAACCCCACATTGGAGAGGGCAAGATACGGAAAAAGCACTAGCTATGAAAGAAACTGAGTGGATTCACAAACTTAAAACTACCTCCCGAGGAGGTTTAAATGTGGATTTGGATCTGTTAGTGTTTATGGACTGAATTTTATGTTCTTATATTTTATTTTATTTTCTTTCATTTCAGCTTTTATATTTGAGTGGAGCCTTTATTATTAGTATATCTATTTATATATATGTGTATATTCATATGTATATGTGTTTTATATATATATATATATATATATATATATATATATATGTGAATATTTTATATACTTTTATATATTTTTTCTATGTATTTTTGTATTCGTGGGTGAGCCCACTGGTGCCCTCGCTATGCCCTTCAGCCTAATTGTAATAATAACTTTTGTGAATAAGTTTTATGACTGATTTCTCTACAGTCTGTTCTATGCTGATATTGAAAATTAGATGCATATGATACTATATAAAATATCCTCTTATATCCTTGTATTTTTTAAATATAATTTTTAAATATATGTTTTAATATATGTTTTAAATGTCATTCAATAAAAAATTTTTGTAATGTATTTTTTAAATTAGTAGTCTAATGGAAGTATTGTAATTGGTATCAAATTAAATCATTGAAATTTCATCAAAGGCTGTCAATTGCTAACTTGTTACACTTGAATACATGATCCTGAGCACCCGTACACTATACTCCGTAAGACCTGGTGGTCTGATACGGAAGTGTGTCCTCCGGCGTAAACTATCAATCAAATTATTTGCGTTCCAGGCTGGATGTGCGCGCATGCGCTTTGACGTGTATGGGAACGTCTGCCGCAATGCGCATGCGCGCACCAATGAAAGCCGCGCTAATTTAGGATATTTAAACAGCCGGAAGAACAATGGACATACAGCTCTTGATAAAGTCCATAGGACGAAACGCGTCAAGCGGAAAGGAAGCTGCCAGCATCCCCACAAAGATTCTCTGGATCGCAAACAGCTCAACTCTTCTAGACTTATTGTCTTCAAATTTCATCTGGAGACTTTGACGTCAGATCCACATTTAAAGGGCACTTAGCCCAGGAGGGGCTGACAAGCTTTCCAGCACAACTACCGGTAAGATATATGTATTTTTTGTGCCACTACATTTGTGAGTGTACTAATTTGTATCTATTTTTTTACTGTGTTATTAAATATTTCACTATATGTTTTATTTTTTTTATCTCTTTACATGGTTATACCTACCTACACGCATGATAATTATGCTCACACGTTTGTGATTGTGGCGCCCCCATTGGTATATGTTTTTTAACTATACTATATATCTATTTGCATTGTTTTTGGGATTGGGAGTGATCCCTGTTTTGGAGTGGCTAGCCTGCACTGTCTTTTGCACTTTATTCCCACATACTGCCTTTTTTAGACTTTGTTTCCTCAATGAGTTTCTGGCTCCTGGTTTGTGGTTGAGCTGTCCACTGTCACCTTCACCCATCTGTTCTTTAAGAGCTGTTTGAAGGCTAATAATGCTTTGCATTTCTGGCTGAGGTACTGCTGTTTATGGGGAGGTGAGCTCCTTATATATCATTATGTTAAATTTCAGATCCCTGTCCTATCAGCTGAGAGGGAGGAGCTAACCTTTAGGTGATGCTGACATGGATTGGCCAGGAAAAATTTGATTAGTTAAGCTTGGTCAAGAATACCAGAGGAATGCAAAAAAAGCCAAGATAAAACCCCAAAAATCACAAAATGCAAAGGAATAAACTTTTGGACCACGAAGAAACCTCAAAAGGGCTTAAAGTAAAGTCAAACAGGGATTTAAAAGAGCACTGCATGCACCATAACCACTACAGCATGCTATTTTAGCAAGGTATTACAGACCGTGGTGGAAGTAACATAGAGAAGGCCCAGTAATTTTTTTCAGAACCCCTTCTATTGCAAGAGTGGCCAAAAGGCAGATCAAAATCTGTCGTACAACTCCTGCAATGCTATAACTGCTATAACCCTTGCAGGGTTGTATTTGCAATTGGTGTTTGTGCATTTGAATTTAAGAATTTTTTAAAGTATGTGTGTGAATGTAGGAGTGTGTTTGAATGTACTGCCGCCATTAGAGTGTCTTTGTTTGTAGTGTTTGCATTTGAATGCAGTTGTATGTAGTGTTGGTGCTTGAATGAAGTGTTGTTTTAGCACTTTAATACAGGGGTGTGTTTGTATGTAATGTTTGTGTTTGAATGGCGTGTTGGTTTTGTTGGCTGTGGTGTATGCACATATACTGACGCATACATACATACATACACACACAGATATACATACACATTAAGACACAGATACACACATATAAAGACACTGACACCCCTTGACACATATACAGAGTAACACATACACACACACACTGAAACACAGAGAGACACAATGACACACAGAAACACACTGACACACAGATACACACTGATACACAGATACACACTGATATACACTTCTGCGCAGTGTTCTCTATATAAGCTGGGAGGAAGTGAAAGTCTCTCACTTCCTCCAAGGCTGACGAGATTACAGTCAAGTTGCATTCTTAAAGGGCCATCCCAGTACATGGCCCACCCAAAGTACCCTCCTAGTGTGCGGGCCCCAGTGCACCTGCCAGTAGTTCCTCCGCTGATTACAAAATCTTAAATCTGGATCTCTCTTCATTGACAGCTATGTTGTGTTGTCATTGTCTATGAATTTTCTTTCATTCAGTAATGATATCAGATGAATTGTATAGTCAACCTTCTGGACTTCAGATGTTGTGGACTACATTTTCCATAATGTTGGCAAAGCATGAAGGGAGATGTAGTCCACACAGGGCCGGAGCTACCATAAGGTGGCACAGGCAGCCGCCTTAGGGCACACGACCCAGGGGGCACAGGACCTGGCAGACCAGCAGGAGGAGAGTGCACAGCACTCCCCTCCTGACAGTCACTGCATGTAGCGTGGCCAAACCGCGGATTGTGGTGTAGGAGCTTCAGTAATCTCTATGTGGTATGACAGGAAGTGCTC